GCACGCACACGCGCCCAGCGTGAGTTTAAGCCACCTGAAGCTACCGGGTCCAGGACTCGAACTGCGGTTGTCTACGTGGAAGTCCAGCGACATAGCCATTACGCTAACTACTGGTCCTGAGAGGAAGAGTTTTCTTGTTACACAGGAACAATCACCTCTCCAGATAGCCGTCAGCCTCTCACGGTCAAAGGAGCTACCCTTCCTCCAAGGTAGGGAAACCAATGCAGGGCTGGCAAAAAAGCAGCTTTCCTTCAGAGCCATAGCCCTGACAGAAAGGACACAAGTTCCTTCCTCCACAAAAACATGATGATGAGAGATTAGATTTCTTCCCTTAAAGACTATGCAGTTTGCACAGCCAGGGTGGCTTCAGCTGCTAAGACGCTATGCTCATCAGACTGGGTCCACATGGGAAGTCTGGGTTTTGGGGCACCTGTGGCCGGGGCTGGGAGGCTGAAACAGGAGGATCACAACATGATGAGCCCTTGTCTTTAAAAAACAACAACAACAGACAAACTATGCAATGGTAGGTGATAAAGTGCTGGGAGGCGAGGACCAGGGAGCATGGCTGACCCTACATTGTGTTACACTCTATTTGAGAAATCCCCAGATACTCTCCCCTATACTCTTACATGTTGGAAGTTAATTCAAAAGAGGTCTTCCAGCACTGGCTTATCATTTTCTGCCTTACCTGGGTCTGATGGAGCTGTCAGAAGAGACAATTCAAGTGTGAGCCCTGCTCATGCAAGGAACACCCTTTCCTGCCATTGACTCGGCCTGTCATGCTTGGCTAGTTCCCCTTAGAATTCACTCTCTTCCAGATGATACTGCAGCCCCCTTCCTCCCTGAAAAGCTTCTTTAGAGAAGACCCAAGCATTTGCCAAACATACCCATGTATGCCTAACTCCTACAGTAAGTATAGTTAGTGTTTTTTTCCACCAGGAGTCTCTTCGGCTCTCACCAAAAGATATCTGGTGGGTCTATGCGTTTCACGGGCATTGCCAGCCATGCTCCGATCACAGTTCTGACCCTGGCTCCAGCCCAAGTTGTCATCCTCGATCCCTGCATAAGTCACAATCTACTTTTGTTAAACAGGTACACATTTGGGGGTTGGTTAACATATGCAGACTTGAGTCTGGAGGTGCTTAAAATGGGAAACTCAGAAACAAGATAAATAGGAGGGCTGGCATTCGTTTAAATAGAAGGGTCCATTAATTCATCTGTCTGTTGTTCATTTTACTCAGCGTTTATTTAGTAGCTTTGTAGGTGCCAAGCACAGTGTCTACAGATAAAAAGATAAATAAGATTTAGTTCCTGTCTGTAAGGAGCTTATACTACAGGTATAAAGGGAGATACATGAATGGGCAAATGACACCTGTCAGAAGCCTTATCCCACAGAAAGGTGGGCATAATAAATTTTATAAAAATGCAACATGATAAATGTTATAACACACACACAAAATGCTGTGCTATTAAGTACAGGGAGGAACAACTAATATTTAATGTAATCATCTGGCAGTCTCTAAATGGAAAGATTTGTGAGAATATAAACCATGGTATTTATTGAGGCTTAATTTTTGTCTGCATGACTATTTCAGGCCTGGGTTTCTATTATGATCATTGTTTAATGTGCTAATTTTTTGGTTTATTTATAGTATACTCATGATAACAATGACCAGTAATGACCTTTGGCTTATGAAAATAGATGTTTAATAAAGTAAACTAATTTACTGGGAAACCATTGGAACATCTCGGTCCTGTGGAAAAATACCGTTATGTGTCTGCTGATAAATTATTTTCTGCTTATATAACTGATCTATCATATTAAAACATCATTCAGGCAACAGTTTGAAAAATCAGACAAATCTCTCCAAAAAGGAAGGATTAATTGCAAGGTTTTACATGTGCTCATTTTTGGTTTTGTCCAGTAATCTGATATAAAAATTAAAGAGCTGAAAACATTTCTTTTTAGTTTGTAATTTTTAAATTGCTCTAAAGTCACTAAAGCTTATTATTATCATTTACTTTTGTCAGAGGGCATGCATGCTTGCCAGAGGGACAGAGAGAGAGGAAGAGGAAAAAAACACCCCCTCTCCATTTTTCCAACCTGCTGGGATATGGGGCATGCATGCACATGTGCCTAGTGTGTTTTTCAACTTGCCAGGTCCAGGATTTGAACTGGATCTGGTTCCTTAACCACCAGGCCCTGGAGCTGGCCCTGAAGGCTAATTTAATCTGTATTTTCCTGGGTTGATAGGACAAATCTCTACAACCATTCCGAGTCAGCTAACGTATTCGGAATAAGTTCTATTGGCTCCACCATGCTTCTCTTCTTTTCATATTACTTTCCTCACCTTTTCTCTATTCTACCTTATTCCTTATTGCAGTCTCTGGTTTTCTATCTTGGCTGCTCAGGCTGTGTGCTTTTCAGTGGTAGATGTGAATATTGCTCAACTCTGGCAGACATCAGTTTCAGGAAGTGATTCTCTGTGTCCATGTTGAATAACCTAGAATAGGCCTCTTCTCATATTCAAGTATACATAGACAGACTTAGTATAAAGTAGAAATTGATATAAACAAACAAATCATTGAAACTAATGTTTCTGGAAGCGCATGCTATTATATTGGTGATCATTTCCAATGGGCCATCTGTCACTTCTCCCACTAGAAGTACCTTGATTTTTCCTTGGAGACTCCCCCATCCCTGACTCTGTCCGTATGACCATACAGCTAAGGAGAGGGGTGGATCATAGGATTCACAGGGCTTGTATCAGAAGTGAACACATGACCCAAGAAGGGTTCATCACAGTCAGCCCTGGGATTTTCGTAGGAACTATCAGTTTCTATTTGGGTGAGGGTAAGCTTAGAGACACCATAACCAATCTGTTGCCTAAGAATGACCTCATCTAGAGATGAGCAGATGATGTAATGATTACGTCGTTGGACTCCCATGTCGTCCACTATGGTTCGAGTCCCAGACTTGGTGGCTTAAACTTGCCAGAAATGTGTGCATGCATGTGCCCCAAATCCTGAGAGGTAATGGAGAAGGGATTGTGGTGTAGCCATCCCCCTGGGGGGGGGGTGATTTCTCTCAGGCCAGCACATGTGCCCTATAGCAAAAATCTCTCTTAAAAAAAAAGACCTCACCCCCCACCTTCCCCTAACACCCTCCCCTCCCCCCCCCGCACACACACAGAAAGCTGAGAAGTGGAGCAAGAAAAAAGACCTGGTCCTGATAACACTGTTTGAGCCCCTAGATGCAGCTGGCCCTGAGGTTGGTATAACCTTAAACATTTCATAAAAATGAGTAAATAAAGTACAAAATTCACTGTAGTACATTTTCTTCATACGTAAAGTGTACACTTATCACAATGAATTTTTAAAATTTTCTTTATTTTTTACACATTGAATTTTTATTGTCTCTTGCTCCTCCCTCCCCCCCAGTTATTTGTTAAATGCCTCAAGATCAGAATTCCCCACTAGCTGGCAATAACAGATGCTCAGTAAATATTTCTTTGACAAGCAATCCAGGATCTTAGAACAAAAATCATACAGATATTTAGTAAGACTGGTAATGTATGTTAGTGTTTCTTTTCTTTCCTTCTTCTTTTTTTTTTTTTAATGGAGGCCAGATTGTGTAATGATCCAATTACCATGTTTCTTGGCAGGAAATAGGCTACCACTAGGTTTTAAAATATTTGGGAAAGACTTCATACCAATTAAAGTTTTGCTGATGGAATTTACACACACACATACACACACACTCATGCATGGGCATACTGGATATGGAGAGAAATTTCATCTTTCACTATAATAATTAAATTACTGTTCTTACAAGCACGGCCTTTCAGGATACCTACTTGGGGTCCCACAATCTACTTTCTATTATGCCTAATATAAGAAATTAATTGCAAAGTTATACACACACACACATACATACACATACACACACACACACACACACACACACACACACATATATATATTAATGTCCTTTATTCAACCAAATGTGTGCATTAAACAATTTGGAAAGTTTCCCCTTATGTCCAACCCCTGAAAATTCTACAAGTAGAAGATGAGAAATATCATTACCTGTCACTGCTCAAACTGCCTTTTTAGTGGGGCCTACTTATACATGGATTTCTGGATATAAAAGAATAACTAAAAAAGGTCAATGACCCACAGAACATGTAATTTGTCATTCAAGACAAGCAATGTTTAGAGTGACAGGAAAAGGTAGAGACTACGTACGCTTATTAGCATGAAGAGCTATATAATTAACCTACATCCTATTCTTGTATCGTGAAAGACTCATACCTGAAAGGAACAGCCATACCAAAATGAACAAACCAAGGCCATACCATACTTTCCTGGGAAACCCTGCAAGTTCCCTCGTCCTTAGTCAATATAAGCTTCTCCCTCAGAGCCCCTTGCCCTAAATCAACATACCTTTTTTTGAGAGAGAGATTTTTGTTATAGGGCTCTAACACTTACTAGAGAGACAGAAAGAAACAAAGAGACAGAAAGCGAGAAATCACCCCTACTTCAGAAAGGATGCCTATGCTGCAATCCTTCCTCCTCTGTTCTTTCAGGATTTTGGGTACACACACACATGCTCCTGACATGTTTCAAGCCACCGGATCTGAGACTCGAACCTCTGTCAAGTATGTGGGAGTCCAGGGCCTTAACCACTATGCCACCTGCTGGTCCCTCAATATAACTTCTAATTGACAAAGGCGAAGGCCCCCTCACTAGGAGGTATTGGGTAACTGGATGTCTCTTTCAAGGTAGATGTCTCTGGGTTTCCTTTTTCTAACTGGAGTTCTCATTTAACTAAGGTCTAACTGAAAATTCAGTGTCTAATGGATTTTTGCCAACAGAATTCAAATTCAAGAGTGCTTGACTTTATTTTGGCAAAGAGACCTTCTATCCTGTCACCTGAAACCTAAACCCAAATTTAAAACACAAAGCACTCTTCATGATATGACTGCCTTTATTCTTCTAGTGTGGGAAGCAGTTGACTTCTGTGTGATTCTGTGGTCTGATGTTTGGCACGCTTTGTTTTTGAAGGTAAGCAATTATTTGATGGTAATCAAGACTTTCTATTGTTTGTTTCTGAATTCTAATTACAGAGATTTTAACTTTGAAAAGCAAGATAAGCATCCTCTTTCTTTGAAAGTTTCTGATTCAAACTGTCAATCTTACTTTTCAAGAATACATTTTTTTGGTAAAATTCTAATCGCTTATTTCTTCTGAGTCCTCTGGGTTTAGGAAAAGCTGTGCAAGCTTATTACTAGTAGGATAAACCAGTTCTTCAGCAATAAGCTTCTGAGCCACTCCCTTGCAATAACAGACAGACATTTCTAATGACAGTATCATCATTTTTATAAATAAACAACACAGTTTCTAACTACTGTTTTTACTGAAGTATTAAAGAATGCAAGTGGGTTTTAATAATCCAGGCAAAAGCACCTTTGAAAATATCCTGTGGCAGGCCCAGCCATGGTGGCACGAGCAGTAGGGGGCTGCTGGGCGAGGCTGGGGCCACATGGGAGAATTGGGTTTGGTTCCCAGATCAACCTAAGGCAGGTTGGGCACGGTAGTATGCACCTATAAACCTCATTGGCTGGGAGGCTGGAACAGGAAGATTGTGGCATGGTGAGACCCTGTCAAAAATACCTATCTATCACTCTCTCTTTCTCCCTCTCATTGAAAAGAAAAGATTAAGGAAGATGCTCTTAACCATGTGAATAGGAAACAACAAGGTGGACACCTGTCAGAGTATTGATGAGCAATACTCTGCTAAGTATTGATGAGTATTGCTGCAAACACTAAAGCGTCTAGGGGTACTGCAGCTGGGAGACTTTAAAATCTCATCCACTTCTCATCTTACAGTTCTATCAGTAGTTAAGATGACTTGATACTAGGTGATAAGAACAGATATAAAAGTCCCTGAACTTCTCTTTGCTAAATTTTACACTGCATTCAGTTTTTTTGTTATGTGACTTTTATCCTATTACATAAGATGGATATGTCTGTTTAAGTTAGAAAGAACCGTAAGTAAAAGAAAATCCACCCACAACCCTACCACTCCCTCTACACATTTTAGTAGTTATATATCTGGGGTTTCTTCATTTTGTCATCTGTCTTAATTATGAACAACTTTACAAAAAGCTATATTCATTTTTTTTTTTTTTGGAGAGGTTTTTGCTATAGGGTGAGTGCGCTCGCCAGACAGAGAGGCAGAAAGCGAGAAATCAGAAATCATCCCCCAGAGGGGATGGCCATGCTGCAATCCCTTCTCCTCCACTCTCCTCTTGGGATCTTGGGCACACATGCACATGTACCCAGTGTGAGCTTTAAGCCACCGGGTCCGGGACGTGAACTGCGGTCGACTACATGGGAGTTCAATGACATAGCCATTAGGCTAACTGCTGGTCCCTGAAATGCTATATTCTTGTAAATAGACATGCTGCTTACAGAATCAGCCCCACAAACTGAATCTATAAACAAAATTTGAGGTACCCCCCCCTCGTGGCCTAAATAGGCATGGCTATATTTTTGGAACGAACTCCTCTTTGTTTTCTGTTGACATCATAAGAGTGATTTTTTTTTCCTTCCCCCCAAGTAAGTTGGAAGCCGCTCCTTGGGTTTATGAGTCATTTAATGATGTTGTCTCCCCAGTTCAGGTGTTTCCAGGGTCAATAAAGTTTTCAGAGGTAATTGATTCCACCCAAAGAAACCACTAGAGAGCTTTACAAAGCACTCCACATCCTGTACAAGGAACTCTGTCAAATGTCAACAACGGTATTCTGGGTCCGGGTGTGATTCGACTTTATAATAATACTAGTGTTAGCACAGCATAAGCCAAAATCAAAACAAACAAAATAAGTTATATAAGAAATCCTAAATCAGGCTGGTTCCGTGGTGCAACAATAATGTATTGCTCAAAAGAAGCCAGCTGGGGGACTGGAAGAGGGATATTGGAGACACTAAACCCTGTGAAGCATGTCTCTCCCTCTCTCTGTCTCAACTTCATGCATCTGCCTTATCATGAATAAAAAAATAAAAGAAAAGAAAATCATAAACGAACAATGTTATTGCCGGTTTTGATAGCCCACAATTACTGACTGTTTTGTGTGTCAAACTTAATTTTTTTAAGGACATGAAAGAACAATGAAAAGTGATTTAATAGTGTAATAATTTCATGAAATAGTCTGAAAGTGATAATACTAGTAATAACCAATATTTTAAAGCATTTATTGGGCTGTTAGAAAAGTCATGATCTAGTTTTTCTGTTTTCGCAATGCAAAAATGTGTCATGACTTTTCTGCCACCCCAGTAATATGTACCCGATATTAAATCTATGTGAATCTTTACAAATACTCTTTAGCATACATGTTTCACAACAACTCTGTAAGGCAAATACATTAAATCCCATTTTACAGATGACGTAACTGAGCACAGAGGTAAAGTAAACTGCCCACCATCACCAGGTGGCAAACAGAAAAGAGGTGAAATCAAGCTCCCTGTGACTCGAGTGCCCTTTTGCATCATCCTATGATACACATCCTCATGGAATTCTATAGATGTGTGTATGACTGCAGTGTCCCTCCTGACCTCTAGCGAAGCTGGACAGCTAATCAGATCCATATCTGGGTCCCACCAATGGTCCCTCTGGGGATGCCCTTCTTGTGTGGTTCAGGGTAAAAGCAGTGCCTTCCAGATTATTAATCCCAGCATATTCAGGCTTTTCACTGATTACATAAAATAAATTTCTTTCTTTCTTCCTCTTTTAATAATTGGCATCGCATGCACGTGCATACATGCACGAGAGAAAATACTCTTTACAGGGCCTCTTCACTCTGTGATCCCCAGCCCTTCAATTCTTAGGATCTTAGGTGTCTACACACAGGCCCTGCGTGTTTTTAGGCCAACAAGGCGATGCAAACCTGAGATTAGTCATGTGGCTTCTAACGTTGCAGCAGTCTAGCAGGCTACAGCTTACGCCACCTTGGCTGGACCTAAAAACAAATGCCAGTTGCCTTTGGCTTTCCTCAAGAGGATCCCTCCCTGAAAACATTGTCAATAGGCTGTGTGGAATAGCAGAGTAAACTGAACTGAAATGAATGAACAGAACTTTATGAAGCGAATGCATCCATAACTAGTTTTAAAAGGTAAAGAAAACCATAACTTAAGAGAAAACGAGCAAAGCAATATAACACAAGTTATCCAACCTGGACAACATGATGGCAGCCATAAAGCCACCAGCAGCATTTAAAAGAGAAATAGCATTTCTAAGGCTGCCTGATGAGTCTTTGAGACAGAAGACCAGCTTGCTTTTACCTTTCCAAAGATGGTACTTTTTCTTTCTAAGAAGTTTCTCGTAAACTTAGATGATTTATTCCCCATCAAGATGTACTCTAAGGAGTAAACCCACTCTAAGAATAACTTCTAATACCTAGGAGGAAAAACAGATTCTGTTTGCTCATTAACCCACAAAAGGTTACTCTTTCCAGTGGTAGATAAAACATTTCTCTCAAATTTACTTTCTTATTTTCTGGGACAATATGAATAAACCACAACTACAGATGCCAGCATCATTCTAGGTGCCAAAGGGTCCTTGGCACCTTATCTCAAGTACCTCTCAGGCCAGCTGGGGAGGGAAATGTGAGCAATTAGGACAGAACGGCAAGCACTACTCACTACTGAGTGAGTCGAAGCTGCTCAGGGTAGCGTGGCTACACAGCGGGGGCACAGAAAGAACTTCTCTTCAGGGTTTTCAGAAAGACTATGTGTGGTCCAGGTGAGGACAGCAGTGAGGAGAGCTTGAGGCTAAGGAGGTGGGGCATAAGGCATGGCACTGTGACAAAGCATCCTTGAGGAACTGGAAAGAGTTAAGTATGGGTTAAGTGTTAAAATGCAGATAGCAAGTGTCAGGGAGTATGTCAAAGTCTCTAAATTAGCCAAATATTCTGTCCCTTCGGCTATTCATTAGGTGATGAGCCAGGCCTTCATGAATAAACATGAGCACAGCTTCACGGTTTTGTTCATGTGTTCCTCTGTGTCTCGGTGGAGAGCATGTGTGTGTGTGCACATGTGTGCGTGTAAACTCAAATCTTCCTTACTAAGCAATGCTTAGCTCCTTGAGGCCAGGGGCCACATGAGTCAGGCAACACTTCAGACAGAGCATCATTCCTGCAGTTACAGGTAGGGTGGAAAATGGTTCCATTGTTAGAACACAATACCTAAAAGTTGAAAGCAGTTAGAAAGCATCGTTCAAGTAAACTGCTGAGTAAAAATGAAAAGGAATGGGGGACCAGCAGTTAGCGTAATGACTATGTTGCTGGATTCCCACGTAGTTGACCGCGGTTCGCATCCCGGATCCGGTGGCTTAAAACTCATGCCGGGTGCATGTGCATGTGCCCAAGATCCTGAGAGGAGAATGGAGGAGAAGGGATTGCGGTGTGGCCATCCCACCTGGGGGGTAATTTCTTGCTTTCTGTCTCTCTGTCTCTCTCTGTCTTTCTGGCGAGTGCATGTGCACTATAGCAAAAACCTGTCCAAAAAAAAAAAAAGAAAAGGAATGTAGAAAATGTCTCAAACATTCATGGACCACAAAGCAATGTTAATGAAAGAATGTTTTCCAAGGGGGTAAAGGTTGGGTTGAATAGAATCAATAGACAGGAATTGGCAACAGAGAGCCTTTGTCAAGTAATGGAAGTGGGAAGTCTCATGCCACACTTAGATGTGTCGGACGGATCCTTCAACAGTAGATGAGACTCTCAGGAATCAATAAGAATAAAAGTAGTTATGATGGGATTAAGTGGAAGAGGAGGAAAGACTGAGTCAATTAACCCTCCAGGGAAGTGGGTGGGACATAAATGACAAATACACGAATTAAGATGATATGGAAGATCCTCATTACTTGACAGAAAATAAATAATTGGATTGAAACCAAGGTGGCTCCTGAGTTCTTGAAAAGGAAAAAAATATACATCATGATTAAAATTATGTTTGATAGAGCAGCAGCAGCAGCAGCACAGTGAGTGGTAACAGTGTCAGACCCC